AGTGTGCGGGTACGGGTTTGTACTATATTATCTTTTTGGACAAAATTTATTTAATTTTGGATCAAATTGTAATTAATCAAATTATTGGGTACTTAATAAAATTAGTCTTTATTAATATGCTTGTTTTTGAGTAATTATTTTGGGTGGTCTGTTAACCAACCGTTTGCTCTGTGAACCGACTTATTACTGAACCTTACTGTCTATTCGGTTTGGGCTTGTCTGAACAGTGGCGACTGTTCTGAAGTAGCTTGAAGGATGTTCGAATGGCCACGAATAATTCTATAAATAGCCGCCCCGTTGCCAAAATCATTACACAATTTTCATTGCTATTATTCTCTGCATTGAATCTCATTCTCCCTCTCTCTCTCTCTCGTTCTGATATTATTTCCGAAGTAAATACACTTCATTGAGTTCGCTAGAACTCCTACAGATTACTGTGCTGCTTCCGTAGGAGACGAAATTCGTTCTATCCTAAGAAACGATTGTTGGACGCCTTAAGCACATTTTGAAGGCAGCAAATTCGTTTTAAGGAAACATCGTGAAGTCGGTGGGCTCGAATTCATTTTTTGATTTTGTTGATCATACCGTTATGCTGTGCAAATTTATTAAGGTAATTCTGTTAGATTGTTTGAAAGGAGATACTCCAGAAATAACACTTCACTCACCCCATTCCACTTTCTCCACCGCGCTCTTCACCTCCACAATTTTCTCTGCATAATACTCATGTTCTTCTTCCTCCTCTAATTGATCATCGTACTCCGCAGCACTACCTTGGCCATCCGATTCCAAATTGACTCCCCACCACGTCTTGATTTCTCCCCAGGCTCTTTCCCTTCTCTTATCTCCACCTCCTCTTCATCGTCGCTCGCCTCGATTCTCCGCAATTTCAATGAAAGCTTTGTCTCCTTTGGATCACTTTCGTACTCATCCGCCATTGCTTCCCCACTCATTAATTGAACAAAAAAAAAGTTGCGAACTTTCCCACTATTCACACAAATTCCACAAAAAAAACCAATCCTTGTAACGTTATGTTTTGTATGGGTTTCAAAATTGATATAGAATTATGATGAGGAGTCACTGCTAGTTTCAAAATCCAATTCTAATTTTTTTTTTTTTAAGGCTAAATTAGGGTGTAGAAAACCCTATCTTTTTCCCGTATTGTGCATAGATTTATTGAGGACATTGAAATTGTTGACTTTGAATAAAGGCAGGGCAAACTTAGGGGGTGGCCTGAGGGGTCACGTGACCCTCCCAATTTTGCTCCACCTTTTTTTGTTTTTTTTCACCATCAAATTTTCTATGGTTTTGTTTCAATTTTCGAAATCATTATGGGATGTGAAATGAAATCGAAATATTTCATTTTAATACCATTTTGAAGTGCTCATGGTCTAATTTTCTACGTCGTTAATGGCGTAAAAAAAAAATCAATCGTAGCAAATGTTACGACTTGTCACAGTAGGCCATTCAAAATTAGTATTTCAAAATTTCGATAACATGCTCGTACGCTAATCGAATCTACAAATTGCTTATATTATCTCAAAACTTATTTCGAGAACTATATTATAAACATATCGAATAGTCCAAACAGATTCGAAAATTATTAAAGATGCGTTAAACGTGAGTCTTAAAGAAACGTGTCTAACTCGCATTTTCTTTAAAAAATTCAATTATTTCATTAACATTTATTATTTTTGCAATACAAATTTCTCGATATAATTTTCATTATTTTATTATGAAATTTTATATGGAATATGACATCAAAAAATTTCGAAAAAGTCATATCCCATGTAAATTTTCGGATGCAAAATTACATGATGTATGATTTTTTGGACGTAAATTTTTTATTGTAAAATTTCTCCCAACTTCTTTACAAGTTCGATTGTGCCCCCTAACTTTAAACTTTTGCATCCGCCCCTAAATAAAGGTACTGTGGAATGCTTGTGGTGAGGAAGAAGATGAAGTGGGAAAGAAACTAAAGTTTCAAAGGTTTGAAATTATGGTTGGCATATATAAAAATTTGAGGAATAATTTGCAAGAAAAATAAAAATTTAGGGTATTGCAATAGCAATTATTCTTTTTTAATTTTGACAAATTTTACTATTTTTTGACAGTTAAACTAACGGATCTTGATGATAGGTCATATTTCGAACAAAATGTTTCAAAAAGTGAGATATATCACACATTGTCTAATATGTAGGATTTTTCTGCTATTAAGTCTTCTTGGATAAAATAAGCACAAAATTCCTTCCAAGATGTTAGAATTTCATCTAATTGGTTATTTTTACAGTTAGTGTTAGTTTAAATTATAAATTTAATCAAATTGAATATATAGATTTAAATTATAAATAAACAGTAATGAATGATGAATAAGTTCGTAAAATTTATAAATCTCTCCAAATATTACACAACAATCTTGAACTCTCCCACCATAATAGCCATAGATTTATGCTAACATAGACTCCAATCTTTTCCTTATTTCCAGCCACACACACGAGCATGCAAACATCGTTCCTATTAGATGTGATTATCGAGTACACACAAATAATTTTAATTATCCATGTACATGTTCGAGCCCCATTTTTAGAAGGATTTTGTTCTTTCGAAATGTATGATTAAAATTTGAAAAATCGAGAATTTTTTTAATTTTACGTGTAAAATTATTTTATAGAGAAAATATATATATACACGTTCCCCACCAACCCATCAATGTAGTCATAAATACGAAGAGGTAGTACTCGTGCTTGCATTTACATACTGCATAATCGCTATCAGATATACTTTTCAAGATTTAAGTTTAATGTTAGCTACAAATTTTTTAAAATTCATTTTTCTTGGATTCAAAAGTCATTTTTCACAGCAAAATATATTTATCAAACACACCCTAAATCATTAAAAATATCCCATGATAAGGTAAAGGTGTTACAAATACGTACCACATATCCATACACAGTACAACCTTAGGCTAAAGAAGTACACACAGAAAGATGAACAACACAGATCTAAGGCTTTAAAAACATTACAATTTTATTTAGTACATGAAAAAAATACAGACGAACTACTAGGATTTTATGGCCCATAATTATTTTGTCATCATGTACTCCCCATAGCCACCACCACCCGACTCCGATTAAGTGTTTTTGGGCGGTTCAGTGGCATCCGGGGTTGATTTCTTGTCAGGATTAACATTGGCGGTGGAGGAATGAGTAGTGCTGTACTGGTGGAGATAATCCTCGGCCTTGTCAACATATTGTCCAATTCCCTTGGTTTCATCTAGCTTACCATACTGCTCAGCGGCGCCGAGAACATCAGCCGCAGCCGCTGCCGCCTTTGGGTTGTCAAACTTTCCTTCTTTGGCCGCATCAGCCAGTACTTTTACACTACCCATCAGATCAGAATTGGATGGTTTTGGGTGATCAGCGGTGTCTTTGGGAGGATCCGAAGTGGGTTTTTCATCTTTTCCAGTGAGCTTGTTCAAGAAATCCATTGCAAAATTAAAACTGGAGAAAAGTAGAAAATTGGTTATTTGATTGTGCAGATATGTTGAAGGGGTGCCAGTGTATAAATAAATAGGAAAATCAAGGTATCGTTCAACGCGATTGGAACACGACATGCACTTAATTGGTTGGTAGAATCCAAAGAAATCCTGCCGACAACTTTATATAGTGGATAAGATTTATCCAGGTGTTTTGATGGATATTATCGAAGTTGTATTTTGAAAATATGTGGTTAAAAAATAAGAAAAAGTTATTGATGTGATGTAAAATATTATTTTATTAAAAAATGTGTGGTTGAAAATAAATTTTGAAAGAATGTGTGTCAAATAGGGGTCCAATCTCAAACAATATACTGCAAGTAGCATTACTTTTTAAAATAATAATATGATGAGGAATATATGGTTAAAAAGTAAGGAAAAACTATTGATGTAATAAAAAATATTATTTTATTGAAAAATGTGTGGTTGAAAATAAATTTTGAAAGAATGTGTGTCAAATAGGGGTCCAATCTCAAACAATATCAAAATTTTTGGACCATTTTTATAATTTTTGCTACAACACTTTGTTATAATTATAATGAAGGTCTTCAAATTTGCTCATTTTTATATTTATAATCTCAACTTCTTTTATTTCTCAACTTTATTTAATTAATACATTTTGTTCTTAGTAACGATCAAAAAATTATGTTAGAATGGAATTAAAAAAATTATTTGTCTTCGTATTTTCGAATAAACAACAAATATATACGTTTCACAAAATATTTTTCTCACATTAGCATAATACTTGGACAAAACCGTTATAGTTAATATGTTTTAATTAATAAAAGGCTAAAATTTAAAAAAAAAAAGTGATGAAAAAAAAGGTTGAAGATGTTAGTACAAAATTAGCAAAATTTGAGGATTTATATTGCAATTAATAAAAATTATGGGGTGTATCATTATCATTAGAGTTCTGCCACGTTTTAGGGTTGAAAAATGTACAAGTGTTCCTTTTTCATACGTGATGCTGCCCGTAACAACACGCCGCAATAATTGCGGTGTGACTGGTTAACTTGATTGATTTTGTCCCCAAAAAAGTGGGTTTCAAGATTTAGCTATAAAGATTAAAATTAAATTTTTAATAAATTTTGATAAAAATTAATGAAATGTATGGTTGAAAAGTTGTTAATTTCATGAAATATATGGTTAAATTTAATTGTTGACTTTTACTTAAATTAAAATATTAATTTTAAAGACCCAAGATTGTTACGCACCTATATATTTATTTTTATTCATTTTATATTTTCATATATTAATTAGATTTTCTATTTAGTACTTGTTTGGTAAAGATTAAAATCTAATTAAAATTGAAAATATAGTCGTTATTGAGTCTCACTCGTCTAATAAAAGTCAACAATAACGACTAATTTTTTAATTTTAATCTGATTTTAATCTCTACTGAACATAGTTAAATAATAATTTTAGAATGTAATTGTTAGATTAACAATGAAAAAAATGCTAAATTTACAAACGTATTGTTTGTCTTGAGAAGCTAATAGTTCTTTGATATTGAGCGTGTCTGGGAGAAGCTAATAGTTCTTGGGTAAAGATACTTGTACATAATTCAATGTACTGAATTGTTTACCCACTCTCACATGTACGCAGGCTCCGCGTAAATAAAAAATCTCAAGATGTGGTCCACACCCCCTGTTGTGAGTAGTCGATAAGGAATTAGGTAAAAAAATTTGGACATATAGCATGGTTCATAGAATGGGAGAAATTGTTGGAGCCAAATAATTCATTTTTTGATCGTTGGGCTCCAATAAGTGGGCCCCATTGTGAAACAAAAAAGTCAAAACTTGCTGCCCATTTGTAACGGTTGGAAATTTGCTTAAAATATGTGAAACAAGCATTGCCAGGCAAATCAATATATTTTGGAAGGTTAAAATATCTTTGGATTAATTTATCTATTTTGCAATTCTTTTTCTATTTTGTATTATTTTTCATTAAAAATATTTGCTTTCTAAAGATTTTCATTTTTTTTCTTCTTGTTGCTAGTTTTTGTGTTGCGATGGTTTGTTGAACTAATAAATTTATGAGGAATTTGGCCATTTAGTCTGGTTGGACAATGTATTTGATGAAATTGCCTTTGACCAATAGTAAAAACAAAAAAAATAATAAAAGTATGAAATTTCTAAAATAATCTTTCTTCTTCAAATGAAAATGAGATTTTTCAATGTAAATAATATACTCATCAAACTCCTGTTCAAATATTCAACAGATATTCAAAATAGGTAAAGAACATAATAAAAAATAGAATTTTTGAATAGTAATCACTATAGTTGAAGTGAAAAAAGGGGCAATTGTGATTTGGAGACCTTAAATTGAATTGTGGAATTAATTGGATTGATAAGGGTGTTAGGGTCTTTTCCCATGGTGAGGGCATTTGTGAGATTTGATCATGTTTGTTTATT